GTATTAAAGACTTACCCTGAAGGTATTACATAGGAAAATCCCAACGCATCTCAGCGGATCCAAACCCCCTGATCCTCATAATGATGTTTGCCTTGTTTGTTATGCTGACGCTGGTTACTTATCAAACCTGCACAAGGCAAAATCCCCAAATGGTTATGTCTTTACCATTAGGGATATCACAATATCTTGGAGGTCCATGATATGACCTTAGTTGCGAAATTTTCGAATCGTTCCAAGACTCACCTCACTTCACTACGCCACAAGTGAGACATGGTTAGGAGTTCTTGTTGAGCATATCCGAAGTACTTGCTATTTTTCATCTATCGTTGAGTCCCAACAACGATCCATGAAGATTATGCCACATGTATCAACCCGACCAAACCATGATACATCAACGAAGTCAACGCCAAGACATATTGCATCTACATCTACATCAGCAAAGCATTAAGAGATTGAAGTCATGCAAACCGATCCCAGACAACCTTGCCGACCTCTACACGACGTCACTGCCGAAGTTTTCCAGAAGCTTGTCCGAGGAATTGGTATGCCTAATTATCTTAGTTGAATCGCTTGTAGTTCTCTTATTTAGAAGTTATGTCTAACTCAGGGGAGTATCTAGAAGTATACTCACATGATCTTAATGTACTCTTTTTCCCTACGATTAGGAGCATTTTTCCCACTGGGTTTTTGCTACCTAACTAGGTTTTAACGAGGCACCCATCCTGGGATGATCATACTTCGTTGAGTTCACTACCTTCGTCCAGTTTGACAATTGTTTTAGACATTATGCATATTTTCTTACTTTTCTCCTTAGTCTATGGGTTTTCCCCATTCCTTGGGTTTTACCATAGCGAGGTTTTTGTGAGTTTTTACACATGCATACTTCAAATTAAATTTGAGACTCGCGATCACCCGTTGTGCTGATGACTTCATCAACTATTCTACCTTATCTGCTGAAGATCTGATGCGATGGTTTGTTGAGTATTTACACACTCAAGGGGGAGTGTTGCAGTCATATTGAGAATAGGAATGTGATTGTGTAAATCCTAGGAAATCTGGGAATGTATCTTGTATTCCTATTAGGATTAGATTACCTATTAAATGTTGTAATCCTAAAGGGAAAGGTTTTACCCTTCCTACTACTATAAATAAAGGCACAATGGGGTGGAATAACACATACCTCACAATTACACATCTCTCTCTTTCTCTCTATCCATGCCGCACCCCTATCTCTCTATGGCCTCCATAATTATTCAGTAAATTATGCCTACAATAAGAGTAACATTTATTGGTTCTTTTTAGAAGTCTATATTGAATATATCCGGACTTTAAAGTCTATAAAAGTTCATCAAAATTCATATACAATACACCCCCCTAAAACTACGGCTAATTACTATATTGCCTTTAATATTATATATTCATTATAAAACTTAATATAATATGATTCTTGTGACTCTTAAACCATGCTAATCTTCCATCACTTCACGAGTTAATTACCCTGACGCCTCCTGAGGTTTATTGAGTTTTCACAAAACCCCCTCAAGTTTGACACATTACACTAACCTCTCTTAAGGTTTAAGTCAACTCTCAAAAATACCCCTTTGCTTGAAAATCTGGTTATAAAAGGACAAGTTTACCCTTATAATTAATTACTTAATAAAATAAAAAACCTTTATAAATAAATAAAAAAAGAAAATTAAATTAAAAATTACACAAAACATTAAAAAATAAAAAAAGAACGCCAGAATGCTGCTGATCCTCCAATTGCTCACGCGAAGACTGATTCAACTCCGTCTCCACCGTGTCACAACAATCCAATAGCTTACACGATTTCCTCTCTCTATGCTCTTCCGTCATCTTCGCCGCCTCCGAACCCCAATGGGCGCTTGCTGTTGGAAATATCGTCAAGAAACAACCTCGAAAGCAAGATGGACCGACCCTCCAACATTTCTGCGTGAAACAATCAATGGGAGGGATTGCTAGAAACGAGAGGAATGAGTTTGTGGGTGCATGTAAGTGGCAGTAGTGGAAAAACAAACAAAAGTTAGATGTTTGGATTCCCATGGGATTTATCATTCTTTTTTGGGTACATTTTCTTTTAAAGGATAATTTGGTACGTTTCAAACTGATCTATTGGTACGTTTTAAGTTAGAATAGGTACGTTTCAATTTAGCATCAGTACGTTTCAAGTTGTTATTGAATGTTTCAAGGTGAAATTGGTATGTTTTAATTTAGCATTGGTACGTTTCAAGTTGTTATTGGTAAGTTTCAAATTGACCTAAATAATTTTCAAATTGATTTCAATTTAAAATTCACATTTATATATGAGTACGTTTCAAGTTGTTATTGAACGTTTCAAGGTGAAATGAGTACGTTTCAAGTTGTTATTGGTATGTTTCAAATTGACCTGAATATGTTTCAAATTGATTTCAATTTAAAATTCACATTTATATATCTCATGCCGCCGAATAGCACTAATCTCAGTTCAAAGACTCCAAACTCATCTTTTTTATCAACAACTTTTATATTTCAATAATAATTTTATGATTTGAACGAGCCAACAAAAGGGGTATAAACCCTGACGCCAAAAAAAAATTCAAAATTCAAAGTTTATAGATAACATTGGTGATTTAGTTAATAGCCATTAATAATATCCCTAAAAAAAAGGTATAAATCCTGACAAGCCAAAAAAATCCCCCTTATCAACTAAAAGGATAAAGTGGGAAATCAACATATAGCATTTTTATTTAAAAAAATAAACTAATGACATGTAAATAAAATAAATTTAAAAATGATTAGGTGGACACTAGTTAAAGCATCTTAATCAAATTTTTAAAAGAAACAAATGTTTAATAAAATTTATGTCAAAAAAGAATGGGGGATTCTAATTTTCCCTTCTTTTTTATTTTTTAATGTTTGTGTAATTTATAATTTGAATTTTTTTTTTATAAATTTTTTTTATTTTGTTAAGTAATTAATTATAAGGGTAAAATTGTCTTTTTATAGACAATTTTTTTTATCAAATGGGTATTTGTGAAAGTAAATTAAAACCTCAAGAAGTCTTCATGTAATGTTTCAAACTTGAGGAAGTTTTGTGAAAATTTTAAAAACCTCAAGAAGTGTTAATGAAATTAACCCATTAGTCACGCAAAAACGGCCGTATTCGTCATTCCCAAGTGATTTTCATCACTTTTATAGTATTATAATATGACTCATGTTTGCAATTTGATGACTTTTAAAAGGTTAAATCCTAAATTGTGCCCTAACCTTCATGCCTCTTGCCCTTTGTTCATATTGTATGTCAACAGGACTGCTCTCCGTCCTCATTTTGAGGACCTGTGAGGTCTTTTTTTCATATAAACATTCAGATTAATCTCAAATAAATTGCTCTATACAATGTCTAAATTTTAAGGCCAAAGAAGAAAGTCAAACCCATCTTTATGTTTATTCTTCTAAGCTCCAGCCGTTATTTAATATTCAGTAAAAAGAAAGAGAGAAACAAGCTATGAAGCATAGGTACGATATGATGCGTCATGTATACGATTATAAAAATATATAATCTAAAACATAATTTAGGGTAAATTACATAAAATTACTTCAATTATGGATTGAACCACAATCTCACACCTCATATTTTAAAAATTACAATGTCATACCTCATCTTACGAATTTTACAATGTTGTACCTCCGCCAAATTTTCTGTCAATTTCTCTGTTAAATGCTGACATAGCTTGAGACGAAACCCACTCCCTAATCCAACTAGATTAAAAAATTAATTAAATATTAAAAAAAATTATTTAAACATTTTTTATAAATAAAAAAAGTGGGACCCACCCTTACAAACCCATCCTCCTCACCTTCTTCTCCAGCCTACCCATACCCCCACCTCCCTCCTTCACCACCAAAACCAGAACCACTCCCCCACCGCCGTTCTCTCCTCCATCTCTGGCACCAAGTTATCATCAACCCACCCAAGTTAAAATATTACAAAGGGGCACCTCCTTCTTCTCAAGCAAGCAGCCGCACACGTTAATTCCATCAAGGACCTTCATGAGCACCACCCCAACAACCCTCGCCTGCAATATGAAACTGTTTGTAGGGTTTGGGTATTTCAAAGACCTTCTCGAGGCTTGTAGAAGGTGAGGACGGGCAGAGGAAGAAAATAAAATCAGACGACGGCAAGAAGAGGTAGAATTCGAGTCGGGATCTCGGGCCTAAAAAACTGATTCCGTTCAAGAAAATTTGGGCAAAAATCCACATTTGAAATTCTCCAAATTAAAATGCATATTATTGCAATCAATGGTAAACCCCATTTAATCAAAAACCAATTTTTTTTTTTTTTTCAAAATCAGAAACCAATTTCAAAGCTATCATTTTGAAAGCAGAGAACTGTGGGAATTGAGATGCCAATAAAAAGGCCCATGTCGCGATGGAGCAGCACTTGTTCTAAGGTTGCCGGAGAAGAGAAGGAGAGCCATTGAGAGGGAGGTGGAGATGGGTGGGATAGGAAGAAGGTGAGGGTTTGTAGAGGTGGGTCCCATATTTTTTAAATAAAAATATTTATATAATTATATTTTTAATTTTTAAATATTTAATTAATTATATTTTTAATTTTTAAATATTTAATTAAATTTTTAATCCAGTTGGATTAGAGAGTGGACTCCAGCTCAAGCCACGTCAGCATTTAACAGAAAAATTGACGAAGATATGACATTGTAACAAATTCATAAGGTGAAGTATGATATTGTAATTTTTAAAACATAAGGTATGAGATTGCTGTTCGACCTATAGTTAAGGTAGTTTTGTGTAATTTATCCCATAATTTAACAGGAAAACATCCACATTCAAGTTCATTCAAGTATGAGAGTTATATTCATGTTTCAATTAGAGGCAAATTCTTTGTATTCATAACTTTCAACTAAATCTTTGTTTTCTATTAATTTTTTCTCCTCTTAAAATTCTCATCTTAAAGTATAAGGGTATCAGATAGGCGACCAAACTAAAGTATCCGTGCTTCATAGAAAACAAGATAACAACGACAGTGAAATAAACTTAAAAGGATGTAAAGCTAGCCATGAAAAGCAGATGAGACAATCTTTATGAGCTCCTCCCTCTGATATTTAGATGTGAGATAACAAACTGAGCCATTCACTTCAAACCCCTTACTCTTCCACTCTTGAATCCTCTCGTGGAGCAATTCTCCATTTCGAGCACACGTATGTATGGTTGCCCCAAGTCATGCAAGCTCCTCTGCAATGGCAAATTCAATACATGAAGAAAAACTTGAGTTTGCAATACAGAGATATCCATATGAAATTTGAGTCTGACAGACAAAATAAATGAGTAGAAGTGATTTGTGATTAAAATAAATAAATAAAGAAATCAACATTTATTATGTATATTCATTCATTGATTTTTGTTTTATTGATCGGAATTGCACTTTATAGATGTTGGAACCATGGTATCTCCAAAAGTGTGCAAGAAAAGGTAATCGAAATTGCGATCAACCGAGGTGCAATGCAAGCGCAATGTCTCTACTAACTGGTCAGTCCACTGCATTTTACATGCAGTTGCGCGGTTGCTCTTGCCAAGCTAGATATGCAGAAGGATGCAGCTGACGTATAGAATAAGGTTGCTGCCCCCTCAAAGAAAAAAGACAATGAGGAAGATGATAGGATCCTGAAATGCTCTGTAATTGTTTTTTGTGATACTCTACAGGTGTCATAGCAATTCTAATTTTGTTCTAGTATTGAAGACCGTTGTGCGGAAGCATCTGAAGACATGCTTTTGGTTCAACTTGTGCGGAAGCAACCAAAGACATGGTCTTGATTCAACTTCTTGTGTGGAAGCAACAAAAATAAGATCAATACATAAGCGGAGACAAAATATGACAAATACAGAAATCGTCCATATAGTAAAAATACCGGTTTGGCTATGTTAGAGCCTACATCCGGTCTGGAGACGGTGAGGAAATGCACTAATAACAAAGGAGAACACAAAAGAGTTTTTAAGCTCTCACTACATATTCCAAAAACACCCAGAACACACACAGAGACTAGCCAAGAACAAGTCTCAGATTGTTGCTTGCAGACAAATACAGGAAAGAGATGGGGTTATTACAAAGATATGAACCAAACTCGCATACACAAGGGATCAAAGAGAAGAACTAACTCAGTCTTGCATCTACTGTACAACGAACAAAGTAAGAGAAGCAACTTACACCAGGACAGAGAACATCTCTAACAAATTGGTTGCTCTTTCCCAACATCATGATAGACAAAAGAGCTAGTTCATGTCACCGTCTTCCGAATGATACGGCAGCACAAAATCACAAATATAGTGCTCTCGGGGACACTTTCCTTTTATCAAACTGAAAAAGGAACCAAAATGTGCAGCCAACCCTATTTGGTACACTAAGCCATGATAGACAAAAGAGCTTGCTCATATCGCCGTATTCCAAATGGTACGGCACCACAAAATCACAAAAATGGTGCTCTCTGGGAAATTTCCCTTTTATCAAACTGAAAAAGGAACCAAAGTGTGCAGCCAACCTATTTGGTGACATTAAACTCAGAGATGGTTATCCCCAAACTCACCAAAAAAGGGCTTCTCAAATTAAGCCAGTTTCCAACAAAGAAGATGCTCCAGTTGTTGTTACGAAACATAACAGGGATATCATGTACAATATATAGATAGAGGTAGAGGAGAGAAATAGAAAAGAAAAGGAAACAGCCAGTCATACATGGTTCTTCAAACTCTAATCCATGAGATGCCCATTTGAATTAGTTACTTTGTACTTTGTAGCACTTTGATTGATTTCTTTAGTTCTAATGCAACACCTTTTATTCTAATAATAAAAAGACCGTCTACATTTGTTACGTAGCACTTTTTCTCCTCCTTAAAAATGTAATTTAGTTCACGTAAGGTATCCTAGATCCCTTGATAACTTTTCCCAATCCATTAGCATCCCAATCACTACCTCATGAATTCTTGATTAGCCAAAACTCACAAGTACCTATATCATCAAGCTTCCTTTTCTACCCAAAACCCTCCAATTTCTTTTCTTCAGTCTTCCAAGTTCCCTACCCCAAGCAAAGTAACAGTATAAGTGGTCTCTTCTTTGAAACATGATCTAGTAAATGATCAAACTCCATGCTTACATTGTCTTCGAAACTTGAATCTACGGACATGATTACCCATTACATCTCCATAGTCTTGTAGCACCCTTCTTAATCCTCATTCGATCCAACATGGTCTAACCAGGTGTACATCTCCTTAGTCTTGTATACTATTATAACGGGTTCACCAAAACATTTATAGTCGTGTATAGAATCTCTTATACTGCTCTTTGGTCAGGTGTTGGTGTGAACATTCTTCAGCTGCCAAAACTTCTCCAACATTATGTAGTGCTTACATATAGTCGAAGAAAATGGCTGGAGTAGCCATGCCATCAGACAGATAAGTTAGTACATAACCATTTATCTCCCTCCATGGCATGAAGCATTTTTATTTTTCTTGGCAGGGTGTGGTTGTATTAGAAAGGTGTAGGGATTGCTTACTGCAAGGGCGCCAAGCCAAGCCTCGCATGGATACTCTTGGTCTTACCGTAAGCGAGCCCAGTCTCTACTGTCTCGACAACCGCTTCAACATTTTAATAGCGTTCATCTCTCATTGACCTAACTCCAACTAACTCTAACTGTTTTGAAGATAAGTCCCACCTGATTCCAACTAATTCAGTTTATTTGGTTAATACTCCCCCCTCAAACAAAACTGGTAACTCCCAAGTTTTGTTTGCATCTGCAATGAAGAACCGGTGGGACTGTCATGTTCTCTATCTGCTGCACTTGCTGCTTCTCGAGCTTGTAAAGATTGTTGACCAACATCAAAGACTCCAATATGTAAACTATGACGATGTTGAATAAACACTGGACTATGTAAACCTTTTGTGAATACATCTGCTACCTGTTCATGTGTTGATATGTATTGAACACGAAGATCCCATTTTTGAACTTTTTCCCTTACAAAATGATAATCTGTGTCCAAATGTTTAATCTTCGAGTGGAACATTGGATTGGAACACAATGCCAGAGCTGAAAGGTTATCACAATGCAAGGTAGGAGGTTGTGTAAGAACTTGATGAACATCCTTAAGCAGAGATTTAATCCAAAAGACATCTGCAGCACAATGTGCCAAGGCTTTGTACTCGGCTTCTATAGAACTTCGAGATACAATAGCCTGTTTCTTTGACTGCCACGATATCATATTGGATCCCAAATAAAAAACATAACCAGTAATGGACCTCCTTGTGTTGATATCTGCTGCCCAATCCGAATCAGAATAAGCATTGATTTGAAAATCAGAAGGCTGAATGTATGTCAACCCACAATTGTATGTACCCTGAAGATACCTCATAATTCTTTTCACCAGATACATATGAGACTCTGAAGGATTGGTCATATACTGACACGCTACATTCACTGAGTGTGCAATATCTGGCCTGGTAAAAGTCAGGTACTGCAAAGCCTCAACCAGGTTTCTATAGTGGGTAGGATCAGACAATGGTGTGCCTTCAGTTGTAAGTAGCTATGGGTGAGGTTTGGAAGGTGTGGAGGTTGGTTTACACTGCTCCATTCCAGCCTTTTTCAACAACTCCTTTGTGTATTTTGATTGATTCACAAACAAAGACCCATCTGCATGATATTGAATCTGGATTCCCAAGAAATATGTCAACTTTCCCATATCTTTTAAATCAAACACAGTTGCAAGACTATTAATGACAAACTGAATTTTCTCACTATTAGATCCAGTTAAAATGATGTCATCAACATACAAGAGGAGTAAAATAACATCACTCTCATCCACCTTCACAAACAAGCTTGTATCAGACATTGAGGTTTTAAAACCAAGTGCAGGTAGAAAACTTGTAAATTTAGAATTCCAAGCTCTTGGAGCTTGTTTCAACCCATATAGGGATTTTATTAATCTGCACACATGACTTGGGTACTGTTGATCCACAGAACCTTGGGGTTGGTTCATATATACTTCTTCTTCAAGCTCCCCATGCAAAAATACATTTTTAATATCTAATTGTCTTAAATTCCAGTGGTATTGGGCTGCCAATACTAAAATAAGCTTCACAATTGCATGTCTAACCACAGGACTAAAAATTTCTGAATAATCCAACCATTGCTATTGACTAAAACATTCTGCTACCAATCGGGCTTTGTACCTTGACATTGTCCCATTAGGATTTCTTTTCACTTTATAAACCCATTTACTGCCAATCACAGCTCTATCACTTGGAGGAGGGACTAATTTCCATGTACCTTGTGACTTTAAAGCATCATACTCTTCCTGCATAGCATTCTGCCATTGAGACATAGTTGATGCAACTCTTAAGTTCTTTGGTTCCTCTACCTCATGTATGTCAGCCAGAAAAGAGAAACCACATGGTATATGACCATTGACATCTCCAATATCATCAACTTTAAACTGAATATATGCTAACTCGGGTAATGCAGCTAGACATGATGTGTAATCTCGTCTCATAATAGCACCTGTTTTAAGTCTAGTTTGAATAGTATGATTGTGTGACTGGGATTGAATTTGTGCATTTGGAATAGACAAAGGAAGAATTACCTGAAGCTGAGATGGATCAAGGACAGGAAGCAAGGGAACTGTATGTTGAGAAGAGGAAAGAGTGTTTGTGGATGCTTGAGTTTCAAATCCCTGAGTTCCAGTGCCTGATTGTTCTGAAGAACTGTTGATGTGTGAAGTAGAAACTGGAGTTTGTGCATGAGTTTGAATTGCAGATAAATTTCCATTACCAAAAAATAAATCCATACTACCCTCTTAATGCATTGTATTCACATGAGCTGAATATCTGTTTTGTACAGGAACTGGTACTACCACAGTGCTACATTGAAGTTAACTCGAAGTGACTCTCTGTCCTTCAACTTTACATTTTATCAATGCATAAGGAAACACATTCTCATCAAAGATAACATGTCTTGAAACAATACATTTTTGGCCTTGTACATTATAACAGACTACACCTTTATATCCCATAGAATAACCCAAAAACACACATTGATCAGACCTAGATGGTAACTTATTTTCAGAATATGGTCTTAACCAAGGATATACTGCTGATCAAAATACTTTCAAATTCTACAACTCAGGATCTTTACCATACAATTTCTTATAAGGGGACACCATGGACAACACTTTGCAAGGCATTCGATTGATAAAAACAAAGCATGTGCACAGGATAATACCAAAAATCAAGTGGTAATGCAGCTTGAGCAAGAAGAGTAATGGCAGTTTCCACTATATGCCTATGTTTTCTTTCAACTACTCCATTCTATTGTGGAGTGTATAGACAAGAAATCATTTGTCCAATACCCTTTGCAGCAAGAAAAGCTTTAAAGGAATGACTTGTGTACTCACCCCCACCATCAGATTGTATACATTTAATAGCAACACCAAACTGTATATAAACCCAGTTGTAAAAACTCACAAAAATTGCATAGACATTTGATTTATTATACAATGGAAAAATCCAGACATACTTTGTATATTGATCAATAAAAGTAACATAGTATCTAAACCCCTCTATTGTTTTGACTGGATAAGGGCCCCATACATCTGAGTGCACCTTTTCAAATGGTGAGAAGTATCTATCACTGCTAGGAGAAAAAAGAAAGCCTACACATTTTTCCTTTAATACAGTAAGTACACATACTATGATTCATATGTAACTTTAGTGGTATATTTGACTGTTTCAACATGATGGACATGATTTCATTGGATGGATAACCAAACCGTTGATGCCACAGAGTTGACTTTACCACCTGTCCAAGAAAACCGTAAGGCTGCTGAATCACAGACTGAACTCCTCTTGATTGCTTGATAATAGGGATTTGAAACAACTGTCTTGCTATACTCTTTCCTCTATACAGTATGTCCCTTGTCTTCTTGTCCTGCATAAAAAAATCATTATCATCACAAACAAACCAACTATGATTGTCAGCACACAATTGTTGTACAGATAGCAGACTTTAAGCAATTTTTGGAACATGTAAAACATTATTAAAAACTAGGCTATGAGAGTTAGTTTTAATAGTAGTTGCACCAGTATTTTCAATAGATAAACTTGTCCCATTGCCAACTAAAATTGTTTTAGAACCTTGGAATGGTGTAACTTGATTCAATGTGTTGATATCAGCAATGATATGGTGAGATGCACCAGTATCAACAATCCAAGCATCCTAAGGAATTTGTTGTTCTGCTTGCTAGGCTGTCATAGTTGTGAACTGTGCAAGTGGTTGTTGACCTTGGAACACATAATTCCCTCTGTGATAGCAATCAAGAGCTGAATGACCACGTTTCCCACAAATCTAACACTTCATTTGAAAACCAGTACTTGGTGTAGTAGCATTCCTGTGAAAACAATTAACAGTTGTATGTCCTCTCCTGTTGCAGATTTGACACTCAATAACATTTGAAAACCTGTTTTCTGTATTCCCATTCCACACATTCGTACCAAATTGCCTTGTATTCCAGATGAAAAACCAGAAGAAGAATCTGTATTGTACCCTTTACCTTGAAAACCAGCATTTGACTTGAAACTGTTATTACCCTTATAATTTGGCTTCGGTATAAACGGAGGTCTTGAGCTAGAATTTGAAGAGTTGCCCATATAGCCAACACCATAATGAATTTGAGGATAAACAGTACCAGGAAATTGTTGAGGCATAGGAGGTTGTGAGTATGGTTTTTGAAGCATAGGAAATTGTTAAGGCATATGAGGTTGTGAGTATGGTTGTTGAGGCATAGAAGGCTGTGGTAAAACAAATGATGATGGAAGTTGTTGATGCAGAGGAGGTTGAGGGTATGGTTGTATGTATGGCTGAGAATAAAGCTCAATTGAATAGGGATATGGATTAGGAGTTAGGATACCCCCAGTTATTCCAGGTAAATGACTATGTCCTGTAGGATTAGACCCTGAAGTAGAAGAAGCTCCTGGGATCATTTGAGAACCTTGAACATATAATGCAGAAGGACCACTTGATTCACCTTCAATTTCTTTTTCCGCCCCAAGCAACAAAACTCGAAGTTCTTTAACAGAAATAGATGATTCTCTGGCTAATATCACTATTCGAATTATAGCATACTCTTTTGGTAAACCAACAAGACCAGCAATTATGACATCATTATCAGAAATGAATTCTTTAGCAACAGTTAACTGTTCCCTTATATTCTTCAATCTTAACAGATATTTATCAATTGAATCCCCTCATTTCTGAATTGTATGTAATTCTGTTTTTAAGTGATTAACTCTAGAATTAGACACGGAAGCAAACCGATCCACAAGATTTGACCAAGCCTCGTACGCAGTCACACATCCAAAAACATATTCAATAGCCTCATCAGACAAAGTAGCTAATAAAAGACTTAACAGTGCCATATCTGTGGACTCCTATTCAATATATGCATCATTAGGATCAGAAGAAACTCCTCCTTCAGTACAAACTACAAATTTCGACGGACAAGCAGTAGTGCCATCAAAATGCCCAAACAATTTATGACCCCTTCAACACCGACTTAAACTCAAATGCCCATTTCGCAAAATTATCATCCTTCAACTTTATAGTGATCATTCCCAACAAATTTTCAAATTTGACAGTAGAATTAGCCATGACTCCTTGATGTAAAACACACATTTTCAAGAATCACACAAACCCCCAATCTTTGCTATCCAGAAAGAAAATTAAGAGAGAATGAAACTCCCTTATGAAACTCCCTTTGCAATCAAGAAAGATTGAAACTTTCTTGAAGAAATCTTGAAATACAAGCGAAATCCCTTGAAATACAAGCGAAATCAAACACACAACATGCACTAAATTCTAAGATCGAAATCTTCTAATCAAGACTGACACCCAATTAACCTTCTAATCAAGAGTGAAACCCAATTAACCTTTTAATCAGGACTGAAACCCAATTACTCAACAGAAAAATTTACAATGTCACTTGAATTGGACTCTTCGATCGTGTGTAGCAGCGGAAGAACTAGGGTCAACAACGGCAGTGAGCCAATGCTGGCGATAATACCATATTAGCGCTATTGAAATACAGAAATCTTAAGGAAGAAGAAACTAAAGGAATCAAAGAAGAAGAAAATAAGAGAGAAACCTTTCAGTGATATATTTTGAGTAAAAAGGAAATATTACATCATGAACCTCTGAGTCTATAAGACAATGCTTATATAGAGACTATGTTGCACAATTTTACACTTTTACCCTTTACACCTAACTCCAACTAACTCTAACTATTTTGAAGATAAGCCCCACCTGATTCCAACTAATTTAGTTTATTTGGTTAATAAGGGGACCACTTATGTTATTACTTTGCTTAGTTGAGAAAGTTAGAAGAATGAAGAAAATGGAGAGTTTAGGGAAGAAGAAGAAGCTTGATGATATGGATTCTGGTGGCTAATCAAGAACTCATGGGGTAGTGATTAGGTGCTAATGTATTGGGAAAAATTATAAAGGGATCTAGGATACCTGACATCCATTATATTGTCTTTCCAATTTTTGAGAAGAAGAAAAAGTATTATGTAACATATGAAGACGGTCTAATATTTTTTTAATCCGAAGAAAAGGTGATGCATAAAAACTAAAACATCAATCAAAGTGCTACAAAGTAACTGAGTCGAAATATGGCATTTCATGAATTATAGTTTGAAGAACAATTTCGCGTCCGAAAGCTTTTTTGATATATGTAGTAATTAGATTTCATTATGATTGGTTTCATTGTTAAGCTATGACTCGTATTATATGATTTGTCAAATGATATGTATGACAATGAGATTGAGATGACTGCTGTTTTCTTTGCTATTTAACTCCTTTTTATTGACATTGAGATTGTAAGTATCTCCTCTTCCTCTACCTCCACCTATATATGATACAATGTTTAAAATATCAGTAGAAATATTAATATGCAAATTTATAGAATCAATATCGATATTAGTTGCCTTGAGCAAATTTCCCTACAGTTCCATTTTAAATTAATCGAAGACCGATAACGATATATCAATCGGTATTTCCATAGATTTGAATATCAATATTTTCCACCGATAAGAGAGAGAGAGAGAGAGAGAGAGAGAGAGAGAGAGAGAGAGAGAGAGAGAGAGAGAGAGAGAGAGAGAGAGAGAGAGAAAGAGAGAGAGAGAGAGTGAGAGAGAGAGGAGATGCTCATAGTCTCAATATCAATAAAAAAGAGTTCAGTACATAAGGAAACAGCCATCCATCACAATCTCAATTTCATACAAACCATTAAACATGAGTCATAACTTAACATTGACAACAATCATGATCCAATTAGTACATATATCAAAAGAGCTTTCGGAAACAACATTGTTTTTCAAACTATAATCCATGAGATGCCATTTTGACTCGGTTACTTTGTATCACTTTGATTGATGTCTTTAGTTCTTATGCAACACCTTTTCTTCAAATAAACATATTCATTTGTTACGTAGCACATTTTCTCCTCCCCAAAAATTGGAAAGGCAATATAGTAGATGAAAGGTATCCTAGATCCCTTGATAATTTTTCTCAATCCAATAGCACCTCATTCTTTTTCAGTTTTTCGTTCCCCACCCAAGCAAAGTAACAACATAAGTGGTCCATTTTTTGGAAACATGATATAGTGAAGGAACATAGACTCCAAGCCTATATTTATAGTTTTCAAAACTTTAATCCATAGACATAATTACAACCACCGTTGGACGCTCAGCAATGGCCTTTTCCATTAACATCTCCATTGTCTTTGAATTGATTCCACCCTCCTGTCCTCATTCGATCCAACATGATTAGGCCGGCGGAATTGTAATGGGTTTATTGAAACATCTAGGGCCCGTTTGTTTGACAGGATTAAGAAGGACTAGACTGGACTGGACTATAGTCCTTTGTTTGGTGTGCACCAGGATTAGCTTTAATGAGCTTAGCAGGGATTCGCTCGGATTAAATAGCTCCTTAGCAGTTCTTAACGAGGATCCCCAATTTTGGGCGGACTCGTAAGCCAGAGAAAACACGAGAGATTTTCTGCGTCTTCCCTCATCGTCCTCATCTCTGCGTCTTCCCTCATCGTCGTCCTTGCTGTGCTCCCTCATCGTCATCCTCCTTACCCTCATCGCTGCGTCTTCGCTCATCTGCATCTGCTCACCCTCATCTCCCTTCGAATCTTCGATTTATTTCGTCGATTTGGGTGGATTAGTTTGTGATATTAACTGAGCTTTATTTGATTTTGTTGTTTTGGGTTTGAGAAATTTTCAATCATAGACCTCTGCACTTTCTTATCATAAATTTTTATGCTTGTTTGGTTGCTGAGAAAAGGGTAGGAAGAAAAGAAGAGAATTGAGTTGGAGATTTGGGTTTGGGGGGGTGGGGGTGGGGGGTGAGGTGTTGTTTTCTTTTTTTCTTTCTTGGATTCTCTTGGCAACCAAACAAGGGTTCAGGGGGAAGTGATCATTGGTTGTTGGTTTCTGAGATTTGTTCTCTGTTTAGATGCCGAGAGTTGATGGGAAAACGAGAAGGATTGTAATTTACCAATTAATTCCAGAAACAGAAAAACAAAGTTGTTCCTTTTACATAAATGGATGATTGGAAGTGGTGAAATCAATCCATTTCCTTGTTTGGCATGTTATACTAATCTTGTTAGATGAAAATTTGCCCCTCTTGCATATTCGACATTCCAATTGTTCATCCTTTTTTACACAATTTTTATGATATTTCAGGTCATATTTGGATTTATTGGTCTCTCAGATTTAGCCATCATAGAAAGTTGAACAGAAGATCTCGAGCCAAGCAAAAGCTCGGAGTTTAGGTGCATTGAAGTGAAATGAAGATATTGCAGGTTTTAGCATCATTTATATGTATTCTCAATCTGCGAGTCATCGTTGATTTTATTAATCTGACAGACAATGATAGCACCCGAATTTCTCTAACCCAATGTTGTTGTATGAAAAGCTCTTAGCTGTTTGTTGCCATAAATCATACAACTGAATTGTTTCCCCCTCCTAGATTGCCTCACATTTCGATGAGTTCAAAACAATACATTTATTTCGCAAGTCTTGTTTACTTCTTTGAGCTTTGTATCCCTAAGCAAGAGGACTTTCACATGATAAACAGAAATCAATGGAGAAGCAATTTCCCCATAATGACCAACAAAATGGCGTCAGTGAGGTTCCTACGGTGGACTCTGGTTCAGTATCTATTTCCAGCAACAAGGGTACAAAAGTCACGCGTGAAGATATTGAAGTTGTAAGACATTTTTTTACTTTACTTGTTTGAGCTTGAGTTTGATTTTGTTCCAAGGACGAAACTTAATTACATTGTTTTGCTTGGGTAATATAATGAACATTGTAGGTCCAGAATTTGGTTGAAAGATGTCTGCGGTTGTATATGAACAAAAATGAAGTCGTCAATACCCTGTTAGATCGTGCTAGGATTGAGCCGGGCTTTACAAGCTTGGGTATGCCGCTACATACATAATTTCCTTTGTTTTTTCTTCCTCCAGACACATGGAAATAAAGCTTTCCATTCCCTTTTATATGACATCTTCACTTTTCTTCATTGTTCGCAATGCATAAGTATTACTAGTTGATGGCGCAAAAGAAGATTTTGACTTTGTCGTTATATTGTTGCTATATGTTTCGAATTGCTCTAATTGTCATATGTTTTATTTTTTTTTATTTAGTACTTGAGAAATTGGAAGTAGAAAATGCAGAATTTTTCAAGGCTTACTACACGAGGCTAAAGCTGAAAAATCAAATTGTTATGTACAACCGTTTGCTTGAGCAACAATACCATCTGATGAAACAGCAAGAGCCTCCAGAGGTTCCATTGCCTCCCTTGCATAATGGGATGCATTACATGCCAGGTATTTTCTTTTCAGAGAACTTGAATGTATAGGCACACGTCAGCGTTTTCAATTTTTGTAGAAGAAAGGAGTAGGAGCTGCATTCCATTTTCCTCTTCTTTCAATACCAATGAGCAGTTTTTGAGTTCCAATTCCAACTTTGGTAAAAAGGAAAATTATACTTGAATTCAGAAAAATATTCAGGGGGAAGTTACTCGTAATTGAGATACACCTTGTTTGGCTTATTTGTTGAGACATTTCTTTCCTGAGCATGGTCATGTAAAGTGTAAGCCATACTGAACGCAAATGGCTAGAATGCATGTCTTCTCGTATTCAAATTCCTTCTCACTTTTGGTGTTGGTTTATTGGAAGGTTGTCGGCTACTTCTAACTGAATTCTATGCCATGGATCTAAATGTAATGTGATCCCTTATTCCTTGTTTGTTTATATTTAGTGCAGTTAACAATTTACCTATGGGATACCCCGTCATGCAGCAACCTCCATTTCCGTCTAAGGGTCATCACCAAATCAATTCCATAGGCACTATATCGAGTTGTCATTTGGTCAATGGAATCCCTGCTCATGGAAATTTCCACCATATGCCCCTGAACTTATGTCAAGAGTGAGGATTCTATCTCACATCCACTTTTTCTTTAGTTGTTCTAAGCATTCAGTAAAGTTTCTGTCATGCACGCACACGGTGACCGTCGTATGTAATGTGTTCCTGATCATCCTTGACAGAGGTATCAAGACAGAGATGGTTTCGAGTCCTGTATCAATATTTGACTCTGAAGAGCCACTTTGGCAAGGATTAGTTGCACGTAATAGATCAAGTAACCTCACAATTAGTAAGATTTCAGTGCAGTTTGTAGAATAGAAACTAGGAGCTTGTTGTTGACGGGGGAACTTGAGGAACCCCTCACTTGTTCAGTTAATTTGCAGATTTTGTAGTCTGAAATTGTGTTTGATGTCTTATAGTAATGAAATGCTCAGTGTCCTTGTCTGTTTTATCATGATTGACATGGTCTCAAGCATTTTGTTATAAGCTGATGGACTTAATAATTCAATGTTTGAAAGATTGAATTAAGTTTCGTGTTTCATCCAAATATTCCTTTCGAATTTTGTTATTTGTACAACAATAGATGACTGCAGATCAAGACAAGAGTGTCTTTCCATTAGTTACAAAAACAGACTAAAACACGTCAATTCTTTCTTTCTATAAAAATTTGAATTCAACTCCCCGGTGTCTTTAGAAAATGAACCTTGCGGCCAACTCCACGGCGACGGCGCTCGGATAGTATTTGTCCTGCTTCAACTCCAGCCAGCTTTGCCAATTCTTCCTAAGTTTATGATGCAACTGACTTCAAATGAAATTAAGAAATGAAAAACCATTTCTTCCCAAGTTTATGATGCAACTGGCTTTAATCGTACAATCTTATGTTATGGCTTATAATTTAGTTTTGCACTATAAAGTATTTTGGCTAATGTTAACTAGGATTTTGTAAATTATGGAGATCTACTTTGGAATGCTATACTATAGTTCACTGGCATTTTGTAAAATATCCTGGATGAAAGTTTAGTGAATGATGTTTTAAGAGTCAATCAATGGCAAAGATTGACTTGTCACAAGTATCTTCTTATGTACTTGTATTTGTTGAAGTTGCATGTATTGTGCACTATTCTTTTTCTTATTTTGGCTGATAGAGTTTAAACCAAACTACATTTGCAAATTAAACTCAACTATTTATAAATAGTATGTCCTAACTATAGTATGTCCCAATTCTATTAGCAAGTAATAGAAACAAAACAATTGTCCTCTTTGTTTAAGATTCATAATATACATGGCAAAAATATGCTCAATTTAACCGATATCATGAGATTTGTAGCATTACTCTATTACACAATGGCAAAAATTTGTAGTCCTAGTCTAACCAAACACAAATCTGGTGAACAGTTATGTTTTTATTATCCTGCTTCTTAGTCCAACACTGCACCAAACGCTTCACTAAGTTAGTCCAACTTAGTCTAGTTTAAGCCAATCCAGCTTAGTCCGTGTAGCTAGTCCAGTCCGAGACAGTCCGGGGCAACAAACGCACCCCTATAGTCTTGTATAAAAGCTCTTGCTCTTCATCGGTCGGGTATTAGTGTCAACAATTTTTTATTGTCAGGCATCCAATCTTATTTTTGAGAGAACCATTCTCCAACAGCCAAAACCTCTCCAACATGTCGTCATGCTTAAATATGAGGTCGAAGAAAACTGCTGGGGTAGCGATGCCACTAGACAGGTAAGTATGTAACCATTTATCTCCCTTTCATTGCATGACGTGTTTTCATCTTTCTTGACGATGTGCGGTTGTATTCGAAAGGTGTAAGGATTGCCTACTGCAACCGCTATGTCTCGCACATATACCCTCACTCTTACCTTGTAAGTGTAAGCGAGCACGACCTCTACTGTCTCTGCAACCGCTTGAACACCGTGCGAGTGTTCATCTCATGGATCTATAAACCCCCTTGTGCATCATGTCAAACCAGCTAACTTTGTAGGTATATATGTTTCTCCTTATGTTAAAATAGGATACACGAGATCAAGGAGATGGAACGCTCTTGCAATGTTCAAGCGGTAGCAGAGACGGTAGAGGTCAGGCTCGCTTACACTGACGGGCTAAGACCGAGAGTATCTGTGACTTGGCCCTTGTCCGGTGATATGGTACTCTAGCAGTTTTCGTTGACTTCATATGTAAACACGACATCATGCTGGAGAAGTTTTGGCAATTCTCTGAATAATAGGATCGGAGGCCCGACAATCAGAATTTGCTAACGCATACCCACACCAACACCTAACTGGAGAGTAATAAGAGTTTTATACACGACCAAATGTTTTGATGAACTAATTACAGTTCCACCTGATCTAACCATGTTGGATCGAATGAGGACTAAGGAAGGTGCTGGTAATCAGAAGTCAATGAAGATGTTAATGGATAAGGCCATTATAAAGCATCTAACGGTAGTTGTAATCAAGTCCGTAGATTCAAGTTTCGAAGACTATAAATAAGCTTGAGTCTTTATGCCTTCATTAGATCATGTTTCCAAGGAATGCACCACTCATGCGGTTACTTTGCTTGGGTGTGTTTTGCTTGGGTAAGTACTTGGAAGACTAGAGAAAAAAAATTGGAGAGTTTTGGGAAGAAGAGAAAGCTTGATGATACAGATAATTGTGAGAGGTCACATGTGGGGATGGATTGTCCTTGGATTTGAATGAGTGATTTCAACAAGTTGATGTGATTCTCCAAGAGTGTTTGCACAGTGAATGTTAAATGGCTGGTGGCCGGTGAAGTAGTGATCACAACCCCCATTCTTCTCGACATCCTTCCTCTAGTGAAGGCTGCAAAACGCTTGTTTCTAAGTCATTCCAAGGCAAGTCTTAACCGTTGATTTCACGTACTATTGAGTAGTCCGGACTATTTATTTAGCTAGAAATTAAGGTAGGTAGTTAGCACACTACCACAGCAGAGCACAGATGGAACTAATTAAGTCCTTAACCTCCTACCTATTTCAAGGGTAGGTTCACTTCTCCAAAGTCGGGATGATAGGCTGCCGTCTTTCTCCTAGCTCATTCCTGGTGGTTTTCCCTCCCCGACCGCATAGCCACCTCCTTGAGTTAGCTTCTCCTCTATGAAAATTTTGTCCCACTCCAATTCAGCCCAAAACGCTTCCAAGTCAACAAGCTTGTCGAACACTGGAACCCTAATACCATTACGATGGGTTCAAAAGAAAAGACATTTAGGAAAAAGGTCTTGTTGCTCAAGCATGGAATTTGGCCATGGCCATTGTCCCACAGTGGGATACTTACGATGGGCCGCCTTTTTCTTTTTTGGTGAAGGACGACAGGCTACATATCTACTGTTGTTCATAGCCTTGTGACTTTGTTTAGCCTCTTATCCTTCTCCTTTTTCCGGTACTCATCTGATGCTCTAATGCGTTACATAGTGATAATTTGTCATATTGGGAAATAAGAGAAGACACAACACAACCGTAACTCCCGTGTGAGCATTAACATCACCAACAACCTCCATCGATTACGTATGCAATGCACTGACACATGTAGAGCGTGTCTATAAAGGGACCTGGGCGATCCAAGATCCTTGATTGAATTTTCCCAGGGCTCCTGAAGTATAAGGTTGGGCCTCTTGCCTCTGGCTCTGGCTCTAAATTCCAGCTATGCATCGGCGTCCGCGTCTTCAGGAAGAAGACTACCACAAAAAAGAATAGATTTTTTTTAAGTGACTTAGCCCAAAACAACGTCATTTTGGCCATGTATTTTAATGTTTTTTTAAAATGACCTGGCCCAAAACAACGCTGTTCTGGCCAAGTCTTATTTTCTTTTTATTAAATTGATGTGTATCGAGAATTGATGGAGATTTAACGTTCATTATTGATATGTTTTATGTTCGGTCTGAATAGCATATTTACAAATAGGATTTTGCAGCTTGTAATGTTGTTTTAAGTATGATTTATGAATAAAATGTATTATCATTTAATTTTTCCATGTTATTTTTGTCTACAAATTTTTTAACCTTTATTATTGAGACCCTCAAGTTTAAAATATGGATCCGCCACTAGATATATGTATTCGTATCAATAACAGTATTAATCATATGGAGAGAGCAAGGGAGAGGAAAAAACAGGGAGGGAGGACTTAAGAAAATGAGAATTGGGTGTAACACTCAAAACCCTTGCAAGCAATGATTTCTATGTTTGGTTTTAGCTCACATAATACGTTGCCAATCAAGCCATGATAAAGAAAACCCCAAACTGAAATTGCTTCATGGATCTCATAATAATAATAATTAAAATTAGAGCCTTAATTCAAACCCCAAAACTGAAATTGCTTCATCATGTTGTGGTAGAACCATTAACGATGGAAGAGAGAGAGAGAGAGAGAGAGCGAGAGAGAGAGAATTATGATTACCTTAATGATGAATCGAATCTGTGTTCAGAGAGAGAGCTATGATTACCAAAGTGATGAATCGAGTCTGTGTTTCGCCTTCAGTTGTTCGTTGATTGCCAATTAAACACCGTTTGAGAAAACACCTAACAAATCGCTGCTTCATCATTCATGTTAGCTAGAACTACCCTAAATTAAATTGCAAAAAACATAAGCAAAGAAGCTGGGGAGGTGGAAGAGACTAGAGAGAGCAATCAAACCTAAATTAAATTAACTACAACAAATAGAAGCAAATCGACTACCTTGCTCGTTTTGCCGTCGGATGATTCGATGTCGATATGGGACTGTAAACAAGAAAGAGAAAGGGGATAGTAGATTAACTCACACAAGCTACATCGAGATAAGTTAGAAAGCATATGACTAAAATGAGGCAAACTGAGAATCCTTTCTCTCCGGTGTGAGAGTTCTCCATTGTGAGTGTGTTTCTCTCAGCGTGAGAGTTTAAAGTTGCTTCCTTAGTTTCTTTGTTGTTGCAACCAAGGAAGAAAATATCGGTAATATCGGAAATATCGGTAGTCCGAAAACACGGAAATATCGATGGAAATATCGGGATAATATCGATATCGATAAAATTACATGGAAACCACGGAAATTGTAAAAAAAACTTGGAAATTTTTAATGAAACTTTGCAGGATG